AGCAATCTACAGATTCAATGCTATCCCAATTAAAATACTAACATTGTACTTTAAAGACTTGGAAAAAATAACTTTTCATTTTGTTTGGAACAAGAAAAAACTGTGTATAGCTAAGGCAATTCTTAGTAATAAAAACAAAGCCAGAGCATCAACCTGTCAGACTTTAGACTGTGCTACAAGCCCACAGAGGCCAAACAGCATGCTTTTGGCACAAAAATAGAAACATAGACATCTGGAAGTGAATAGAAAACCAGGAGATAAAACTCACATCTTACAGCTATTTGATCTTTGATAAACCAAACAAGAACATACACTGGGGGAAAGAATCCCTATTCAATAAATGGTGCTGGGAGAACTGGATATCCCATGTAAAAGACTGACACTGGACCTTCACCTTTCTCCACTCACAAAAATTGATTCAAAACGGATAAAAGACCTAAATTTAAGGCATGAAATGATAAAAATCCTAAAGGAAAGCATAGAAAGAACAGTTGAAGATATCGGCCTGAGGAAAGACTTTATGAAGACGACTTCCGTGGCAATTGTAACAAAAATAAACAAATTGAACTTAATTAGACTGAAAAGCTTCTATGCAACTAACGAGACAAAAACCAAAGCAAACAGACAACATACACAATGGGAGAGGATATTTGCATATTTTAAATTGGATGGAGAACTCAAATTAATCAACATGCAAAAAGCTAACAATCCCTTATATCAATGGGCAAGAGAGATGAATAGAACCTTCTCTAAAGAAGACAGACAAATGGCTAACATATGAAAAAAATGCTCATTGTCCCTAATTATTAGAAAATGCAAACCATTTGATTCTGCAATCCCATTACTGGGCATCTACCCAGAAGAAAAAAACCCTTTAACCATAAGGACACTTGCACTAGACTGTTTATTGCAGATCAATTTGCAGTCGCCAAAATGTGGGAACAGCCTAAACACCCACCAACCCAGGACTGGATTAACAAGCTGTGATATATGTATACCATGGAATACTATTCAGCCATTAAAAAAGATGGAGACTTTACATCTTTTGTATTAGCCTAGATGGAAGTGGAACACATTATTCTTAGTAAAGCATCACAAGAATGGAGAATCAAGAATCCTACGTACTCAATTCTGATACGAGGACAATAAATGACCTAATGGGGGAAAGGGAGAGCAGAGAGAGGGAAGGAGGAGGGCGGTTGGGGGTCACAGTGTGTGACACACCCTATGGTGGCAGAACACAATTACAGGAGGGACTTTACCTAACAAATGCAATCAACGTAACCTGGTTCAAAAAACTAAAACAAAAAAACTACTAGGACTTAAACGTCTAGTGCAGGAGGCACTGTGAAGATGCATTTGCTGCTGCTGTGGTCCAAGTGGGAGAGTGGTCTGTATCTGTCTGTCAGATCCTGCCAGTTTATTGTATCATTAAGTCCTTTATTTTCTCACTTATCTGTCCATTATTGAAAGTGAGATACTGAACTCTCAACAATTATTGTAGAAATGTATTTCTCTGTTCATTTATATAATTCTTTGCTTCCTATATTTTGATAATCTCTCATTAGGTAAATAAATGCTTATAATTATTAAAAAAAAATAAGAAAATGCATTTGACACAATTCAACATCTTTTTATTACATAAACTCTCAACAACAGAGTTGAATATAATAGGAAAATATACCTCAGTACAACATGAGACAAGCTCCCAGCTAACGTTGCACTCCGTGGTGAGCAGCTCAAGGTTTTCCTCTAGGAACAAGCTAAGGACACTCAATTCTGTTCAATCTAGTATTGCAAGTTCTGGTCAGCAATGAGACAAAAGAAAGAAATGAAGCCATTCAAAAAAGAAAGAACAAACAAATGTTCTCTGTTCTCAGACAACGTGATCTTACTAAAGAAGACCCTAGAGCAGGCGTCCTCACACTACGGCCTGCAGGCCACGTGCAGCCCGCCTAGGACATTATCCGGCCCACTGAGTGGTTTTGCTGCCGCTGCCTGTCCTGCTTAGCAGCCGACCCAGTCCTGCCCTCCAGCGGTCTGAGGGACAGTGAACTGGCCCCCTGTTTAAAAAATTTGAGGACCCCTGCCCTAAAGACTCCACCAAAGAATTGTAAGGCATCAGTTTAGAAAAGCTACAGAAGACCAAGTCAACAGACAAAACCCGGGAGTGTTTCCACACACCAACAACAGACTCTCTGAAAAAGAAATCGTAATCTTATTTACCATCATTACAAAAGAATAAGAAACTTAGGAATAAATTTAACTAGGGAGGTAGATGATCTGTACTTTGGAAATTATTAAGAAATTGATAAAAGAAACCTTAGACATAAGTACATGAAGAGACATCCTGTGCTCATAGAGCGATTAATATTAACTAAAAAATCCACACCACCAAAGCAAGCTCCAGACTAAAAGCAATCCTGACCACTTCGACATTTTTCACCAAAATAGAAAAAAAAAATCCTAAAGTTCATACCAAGTACAAAAGACCCAGGACAGCCAGTCTTAAGCAAACAAAGCTGGAGGCATCACATTACCTGATTTTAAAAACTACTGCAAAGCTATAGTGATGAAAACAGCATAGCACTGGCAGAAAAGTAGACGAGACCAGAGGAGCAGAACGCAGGCCCAGAAATGCACCCCACACGGCCAGGGGGTTGTGACAGAGGCCAGGAGCACATGGCAGGGGGAGGGTAGGCTCTTCAATAACGGCAACATAAACTAGATAACCACACACAGAAAAATTAGATCCTATCTTGCAAGGTACACAAAAATGAATTAAAAACTAAAATATAAGACAAAATTTCAGTTGTACGAGATGACTGTGTCTTGAGATCCATTGCACAGCATGGTGACCACAGGGAATACAACACGTTGATGCTAAATTGCTGAAGGTTTGGTTTTAAATGTTTTCACCAGAAAAAAATAAGTATATAAGTTTATGGGTGTTAATTAATTTGATTTAATCATTCCATAATGTTTATGTATATAGAACCCTCACTGTACTCCATAAATAGATACAATCATTACCTGGCAATTAAAGGTAAAAACAGTTTTTAAAGGAGAAAACAGTCTCCGTATAAAGGTTGAAACTAGTTTATTTTGCAAATTATGATTTACAAGTGCTTCACAAATGCCCCACTTTTCCACCTATTCTGCCTATATTCTATCAGACTTTGGCAGGTGGTGATGGTTTTACACTTGGTCTTAGCCCAAGAAGTGATGTGGTGATGGTTTTAAAGTTTAGCCAAAAATACAAACAAACACAAGACACCCAACAAACTAAGAAAGAGGAGAGGAAAATCTCTAAGTGGTACAAGTCAAATCTGTAAAGTGTAGATCATAGATGTTTTGACATAATAATCAAATAAATGAGGAGAAAGCTATGTTGATTGGTTTAATGTAACCACGTCAGATTGTATAAAAAAAAATCAGCACATTGTACCCCACATATGCACAAATGCATTCATGATCTATGTGTATAAAATAAAAAAAAAGAAAAAAAGAAAATCTCTCAATGGAGAGGTCCTCAAAGACCTTTACCCCAAAATCTGTTCTATTCAAAATTCATACAGATGAAGAGGTGGATGAAGAAAGCACGTTCCCAGTGTGTGAACGTGTGGAGCTGTGAGTTGAGGCGAGAGGCAGTGGGGAGGACAGTGGTCACCTGTGACTCACAGATCTCACCCCAGGCTCAGCTGCCTGTGTGTGTGGCCGAGAACGTGTGGGCTGAGTGCCGCCTAAGGACTGGCCTCTGTGATGTCCACGGAGCTGCCCATGTGTGTGGCCGAGACCATGTGGGCAGAGTGCCGCCTGAGGACTGGCCTCTGTGATGTCCACGGAGCTGCCCATGTGTGTGGCCGAGACCATGTGGGCTGAGTGCCGCCTGAGGACTGGCCTCTGTGATGTCCACAGTCACCAGACTAAGTCAAACCTATCTTTTAAAATTTCAGAAAATTTTTCATTCTTTGGGCCATTTAGGTCTGGACATTTCATGACTGATTCCTTACTTCATTTTCAATTCTATAAGAAGAATCAGAGAGTCAAAACTCTCCTAAGTGAAAGTAAATATATTAAGTTTTGCTTCCTAGAAATCAGACAAGGGAGTTTCTCCAAAGGCGTCTCATCTTCTCAAGTCCTTCCACTCCGTTTACACAAAACACAAGGAGAGGCTTTGTGACAGTCAGTGTACAGAGCAGGTCACTGACAGAAATCAGGTGTGATCAGTCCCCTAAGAAATACTGACACTCCAAACACTACGAGCTGAACTGTAAAGGAAAGGATTACCTTGGTTTCATCCTGCGGATAAAAAAATACAAAATGCCACGAAGTAAACAGCCTTATCTTGTAGTCTCCCCACAAACCCCAGCTTTGGCTTCACGTTCACCCGAGCGTATTAATGGGAGACAGGAAGTCTGCACAGCCCAGTTTAATTATCTGTTTCTCCTCGCTCTGGTATCCGTCATTATGGGAAGGGAAGTTTGGCTCAGATGACACTCATATCTTAAACCAATACTTGGGCAACAACACGAGGTAAGCTCACTCCCACAGCCCATAATTAAAGAGCTCACATACTTAAATGGACAGCAAAGGGCAAGAAATTCTACAACACGAAAATTCCCGATTAGTATGAAAAGATTACTTGCTATTTGATTGTGAAAAAAGCACATTAATATGAACAGGGCTGTTGCTGATGTGTTTAAACACGACGGACTTACAAGGTCTTTTTCTTCCTTTGTGCATTTTAAAACAATCCCTCCCACTGCTTCCTTTCAGTACATTCAGAACGATCAGACCTCAGGACAGAATGAGGCAAGCCAACCTCTGGGAGGGTCTTCAAAACTGCACTAGATTTATTACACATGAAATGCATTTTTTAACACCCATAGTTACACTGGACAGCTTGACCGGCAGCTGCTCTTCTCACTTTGTACAATCGTTACTCTTTTTGAAACGAAGTAAACTCAGTGAAAACGGTTCAAAGCCCAGGTACTTACTGTTGTTGGGAAATAGCGACTGGTTTTGAACTTTTTCAGAGCCATGGAGGAGGTGTACGTCCCCAAGAAGAGGATGAAAGACATGAGCGTGACGTCGGGGACGAAGCTGCAGCTGTTCCCCACGAGCTCCCCTCCGTACTTCACACACTCCTTCTTGGACAGCAGCGCCCAGTCCAGGGAAGCATTACGGTGCTGAAGGAGGAAAACAGCAAAACTTAGAGCACTGACACGTCAAAAGGTCAAAAGCAGAGCTGATACTCGATGGGCTATAAAGAGATCACGCTGAGCGTTTCTGTGAGAAGGCCTTGGAATGACCCCTGGAGGGAGAAAGGGGATGAGACGCTGCTGGGGTGACAGGTGTGGGGTGACAGCATGGCAGTTACTCAACATTCAGCCATACAGTTTGTCCACTGGTTTAGGTGATGGCCATACGATGACCCATTTATTCAACAGAAACAAACTAACAAAGTCCTTTCCTGTGAACCTTCCCCAAAGTAAACTGAGACCCACCATCAGGGTATTGAACGGGAGACCCTCAGAAACACCTTTGTTGTCCAAAAGCACTTACCCCAGCAGAGCGTGGCCTCTCACGCAGGGACGGCTAACGCTCTGGAAGTCACAGAGGGGAAAAACTCACACTCCACGCTAATGGTTAATCCTTGCATGAACAACTAGAGGTTGGTGGTTTAAGGAATTAAACTACTACATAGCTGTGGAGTGGTCCTGCTTGTCTGACTGCGCTTTCTAACACAGTGGAGTTATTTTCTCATTGACCGCAGGTCAGCACTCTGCACGTCCAACACTGGTCTTTGCTGCGGTGTCCTTGAGCCCTGGAGCTGTGACGGGATCCCCCCCACCCACTAACCCCCACCACTGCCCTGCCTCCCCGCACTGCTGTGAGGGTGCCAGTGAAGGGGGCCTCTCTCTGCAGCTCACGCAGTCTCCTATCTCCTAATACACAGGAGTATCTTTCTCTAGCCTGGTGGGCAGGACCAGTGCGCCCTCTTCTCAGCACCCTCAGGTCACACCTGGCTCCTTCTCTGGATAACTGCCATCAGCCACATAACAGCCCCGTCACCTGGAATGGCACACCCCTCATAGACAGGTACTGGCCAGCACTAACGGGGGGTGATGACCCACCCCCTCAACTCAAGGTGAGGGCAGAGCTCTGGCACAGCCTATGCTCCAGTGCCCCTCACATCAGGTGACCCTGAACTCAGCTGAGACGTGTCCTTCTCCAGCCCCTTCCCTGCCTGTGCCACACCTCCTGGGCCGTTTCCACTCTGGTTCCTCTCTTAACACCCCACGTACCCCTTCGTCCCTAGGCCAGAACCTAACTCTGCCAGCTCACTTGAATCTTTGCTCAACCAAAAGTCCATGGGCTCTGAGCCTAAGGCATTTTTAATAAGATATTAGAGTTTGGAGAAAACTGAGAAATAATCTGATGAGACTTCTCACCCCGGTACTGCACATCCCTGAAAGGTGGGCATTCGCTCTTGGCCTGCACATTCTCTGTGATGTGAGTTTCCTGCTCACCCATCCCCTTGCTTAGCAAAATTTCTGCACATATCTTTCTTATACTGATATTTGATCCTCGTTAAATACTTAAGCCTTAACTGAGTTTCTTTTGCCACACAGAGCTCTTTCTTACATATTGTGACAATTATGACGGTTGACTATATAAATAATCAGTGTAGAAAGGAGCAAGTGTCTCAGGTTAGAGACATTCTAAATCCCCATCATATTATCCCTCTTGGGTCCAGGGTGAATGTGTATGTCGTATGCTAACAGAAGCGTTACTTAAAAACGCCTGGCAAATAAACATGGAAACGTGAATGTCTCCTGTCCTTTGCAGGCAAGAAAAAGTTCTACCCCACACCAGACACATCGTCAACCTCTTTTACTGGTCAATGAATTCTCTGGATGTGACTGACCTAGTCATAGAAGAAGAGTCTTTGACCAGAAAGAGTTTGAATGTTTGTAAAACACAAAAGGCAAAGTATTTACATAAGTACAAAAAGAAAAGGCACTAGTTCTTTTCCCGAAATATTTTTTCTATAGTAGCTTCAACTTGTACTAAACAGCTGAATTGCCTAATTGCTCTCTTATCAAACTCTGCCTCTGGGGGGTGATTAATAACATCTCACTTTGCTTTTCAGATTTTCGTATATGCATGTTTCTAGCAGAATACATTTAAAGTTTAGAGGTTATAAGAGGTAACATATTTCTCTGTTTTAAAATCAGCAAAAATTTACCAGAATTTTACATCAGCACTTTAATATCAGCAGAGTTATTTTCTATAACTAGAGTTCCCAAAAGAGGTAAGATACATTTAAACAATCACATACCAATTTAACACCTTTTCCATCTGGAGGAAAAATTAAAGCAAAATAAACTTTCGGTTTAGTGTGGCCAGGTAAAATACCGGATTCAAGCCACACCTGAATTTCAGCTGAGCAATGAATGATATTTTAGTATGTCACACGCAATATTTAAGATATACAGAGACTTTATGGCCACCCTGTACTATCAAAACATTCAAGGTTTATCTAAGATTCAGATGTACCCTGCACCCGTTATTTTTATTTGCTAAATCTGGTAGCACTGCCTCAATCTGATGTAAGATATTCTGAGTAACAGTAGCATCTGGAAAAGAGAAAAATGTACTGGGATCTGACCGTGTGGTTAACTGACACGGCCTTTATAGAAGCAGTAAGATGAAAAAAGAACAACAGATTTTAAAAGTTTCCTTAGAGAAAGAAAAGATGTTCACTTAAATATTAACTAAGGACACGAGGCAGTAAAAAGCACCACCTAAGTGAGCAGCCGGAGACGAGAGGAACACTCAGCTTCACTGAGCAGAGGACAGAGCTGGAACAGCCCTGAAGGAGCCCAGGGGGGTCCTCGTAGGAGCCTCCTGTTGAAACGGCAGCAGGAGTGGAGGGACAGACCTTGGGTGTATATCTCCTTCTGTGTTGGCAGAAAGGAGTGAGGCAGCAGAGACACCATGAGCACAGAGGCGGACGTGGGGCCATGGAACACCTCCTTCACTTATCCAGCAAGTTCTGCATGAAAATTTACTGAACAGCCCCACACGGAGGAGCCGGCCGGGAGCACTCAGAGGGCTGGAGCAGAGAGAGCACTTGTGTACAGGGGCAGTGAGAAAAATGTTTACAGGAGATGGGACCAACTTGCTGAGTCTTACCTGAGGTAAATCTCACGAGAAGAGATTTCAATCTATTTTGGGGGGTTCATTTTCAAGGGATTAGCTTGCTTATATTGTGTGAATTCACTTGCAATTCTGAAAGTTAGAATGTATACTGGAGGAATTATTTTAAAATTGACAATATCACAGCATTCTCCTCAAAGAAAAAAGTGGGGTCTGTCTGTTACAGGAAGAACAAAACGTTGACAGTCCTTGAGGCTAGATGATGTTACGTGGGTCTTCATCAAACTCTTCTATTTGAATGCATATTTGAAATTGTCTGTGATATTTTTAAAAGCACAAACATGTAATGTTCATGAGACTTAAAGACAAAATGGTTTCTACACTTGACTTTCCCAATGTGAAAAAAGTCACGGGATGCTATGCTAAGATGAATGCAGCATTCCATTTCCCATGAAAATGAACATCAACTCCTAGAATCACCCTGACGGTGTAGCGGATCCAACTACTTCACTTCTGTGTCTGAGTGAACGTCAACTCCTAGAATCACCCTGACGGTGT